AAACAGGTATAAAATACTATATGACAGTAACAAAAAAGTTGTTAAAAATAACAAGAATAGAGTTAAAAAGGGGAGTGATTTGTAAAATATCCAAAAAGAAAAATCTGCTTACAGTTCTGTTTCATATGGGTGTTAAGAGATGTATCCTTAGATCTCCTCATGTTGTTCTCAAAGTGCACCAGATTGATGCTTTCAACTTCAATATTTAAAAAAAATCTTCCCGGGGGAAAAAGCCCCCGGACCCCCCTAGAGGAGGTTAGGTCCCCCCCCCACTTAAATCATGTTCACATGGATAGGGTACTAAATACATTTGCACATATCTTGTGTCCATATCTTTCTGTTTTGGTGGTCATGCCACACCGTGCACGTGCATGCGCGAGTCATGGTGAGATATCTGGATTAAGAGGTTGCTTTTTCTTTGCACAGCATGAAAGAAAGGCCAAATGAATGGGCTGTGATTTTAGTATTTTTAAGCANGGTGTGTGAAGAGGAGGAGGGTTATGGCTAGAAAAGATCCGTCTTGTGTAAAACTCTCGCGAGAGTTTGGCTGAATGTCACATGGCTGAATGTTAACGTAAACATTCAGCCATGTGACATTCAGCCAAACTCTCGCGAGAGTTTTACACAAGACGGATCTTTTCTAGCCATAACCCTCCTCCTCTTCACACACCACACTTTTCGCGGCACACCACACGTACTTACAGCCAATCAGCTCTGAATGATGTGAGATGACGTACGGTGGGGATGGCAGCACTCTGCCCCTATGGTCATTATTTTTTTGCCACACACATTAAATAGGACAATACTCTGAGCATGCGCAGTGTAGTTTTTACAGTCACCATTCACTTAGACAGGGAGAGGGAGGGCATGATCGGGTTTTGTCCCACATGGCTCTAAACAGCTCAATAGGCACACACTGTACTGTAGACACTAATTAGAAGAACACAGACTAAAACAGCAATGTACAGACGAATCAGATGATTAAACATGATCTTAAAATATATTTTATATATATTTTTATTTATTTTTTGCATTTTGTTGTAATCATTATTTGTAATACTTTCTGCTGACACTAGGTGGGGCTGTGCACCTGCCCCTAATGACCAGTCGCCACTGATCATAATACATCTTAAATACTTCGGGATATTAAGTGAGCAGTAATAATAATAAGCATTCTTCCGTCCTGCAGGATGAGGAGAAAGCAGAGGATGAACTGGAGAAACGCCGCGCTGCCTTCCTTCTCAAACGGCAGCGTAAAGCTGAAGAGGCGAGGCTACGCAAACAGCACCAGGAAGTGGAGAGCGAGCTGAAACGGGATGAGACCAGGTAGGTGTTAGTTAAACACACTCACTCAATCAAAGGTTAAAGGTTCCCTATTTAGCCATGTTTTTGTGTCGAAATGATTCATGGGGACAACAATGTTTTGGAATTGGTCCAGTATGGAGACAACACAAATGTCAACCATTGAAAGTGCTCGTTTTTGCCACTGACTAACGCAGATTGTTAATATAAGAGACTGACAACATTTTGGAAAGGAGAAATAAAAAGAAATTCTTAATATTGTTTTCTTGTTATGGAGAGAAGTCTCGTAAATGGTGACTTTTTGAGGAAAGACAACAGTGGAAATGTCATATTGAGAGAATGGAATGCCGGAAAGAGTTTGTTGTGTTGGAGTAAAGTGAGCAGAGCTGAATATTCCACTGTTTTTGAAAATGTTGATGAGGCCTACCCCGCTCTCTTACATTGAAAATGTAGGAGTCTGCGGTCATGGGGGCAGGGGTAAACTTTATCCTCCAATTAAATCCTACCTGACTTAACCTCCAGGCGTAAGGCAGAAGAGGACCGTATTCGCAAGGAGGAGGAGAAGGCCAGGCGAGAGATCATTAAGCAGGAGTACCTGCAGAGGAAGCAGCAGGTGCTGATGGAGGAGCAGGGTCTGGTGAAGCCCCGCCCACGGATGAAGTCCCGGAGGAGCAGACCCAGATCCCTCCACCGAGAGGAGGCCAGCAGCCTCTCCAAAGGATGCGCCACACGTAAGAAGACCTTTCCTAAAGCGGTTACTTTCTGTCTGCTCAATGTTGTCTTTTTGTTGTCTGTTGTCAGCTCATAGCGGTGTTCATTTGCATTCTAAATGTGCTCATGATAGTTCAACAGTTCACATGTGTACATCTGCCATCTGCCATCCTCTGAGTGTGTACGTGTGTGTTGTGCAGGACATTCTCTGAAGACGTCCTTGTTGATCAAAGCCCATCGCTCAGCAGCAGGCTGCAGGGGAGGTGAACCTCTTCACTGCTCTGCATGACCAGATTTATATTTACACACACAGCCTCTGTCTGCCAGCTCTTAGAGTCCTATTGTGAACCCGGAATGAGGACCCCAATGTTTTATGTTAGAAATGTATTGTACGGGTCCCAAGCACATAGACACTGCCAGATGCTAACTTGCATAGGCAATTTGCAACATTTGCATAAATTGGTTAATTGTAATTGTTCATTAGCAATAATTAGCATTATGTGGACAATAGTGACAAAATGGCTTGGCATATTTGGGCAGTTTTTCAGTGGTTCTTGGGGTTATTGAGGATGCTGAATCAATTTCTGACATTTTCAGGATGGAAAATGGCAGTTTTAACCAGAAAATGCCAATATTTGTACTCTCTGTGGACTGATTTTGATACATTTTGGGTCGATTTGGAAGATTTAGGGGACTGGATAATTTGGATTGGACCGATTGCCTATTTATTTGAAAGAATGTTCTGGTTAAAACTGACATTTTTTTATCCTGAAAATACCAGAAATGGACTCCAAATCGGGGATATAATGCAGTTCATTTTCATTTTTAATTAATACAACTTATGCTAATTTTGCAAATTTTGCAAATTGCCCAACATATGCAAGTTAGCATCCAGCAGTTTATATGTACTGGGGACCCTACTATACATTGCTAACATTGCACTTGGTGTACTTAAAGGTCCCATGTCATGGCCATTTCCACTGATCATAATTCCATTGTTGAATAGATTTATATTGTGCAATTTTCCAAACTCAAATTGGTTTCTCATACAGCATCTCTGTAAACTACGTGTATTCACTGAATTTCACTCTCTGCCTTTAACGGCTCATTATAGCTCCAATAGCTCCAGCCCTCACCCTCCCTGTGAGCACAGTGTGCTCTGATTGGTCGGTACGTTGTGAATCGCGCTGAGCTCCGTGGAGGTGTGGTTTCCTTGTTTAGCGATACACAGAGAAACTCACCCTGAGCACGCAAAAATTCACAGCCGAAGTAAAACAATAGGTGTGGCTTGATATTGAGTAAGAAAAAGGTTGATAAACGCTGTGAGAATGGGTCTGCAGAGAGAATTTCGCCGCGATCCCAACTGTCTGTTATCAGCCTGTAGCCATGGAGAGATCAGCAGAGCTGCATGCACTGAGTGTGTATGTGAGGNNNNAGGTTGATAAACGCTGTGAGAATGGGTCTGCAGAGAGAATTTCGCCGCGATCCCAACTGTATGTTATCAGCCTGCAGCCAGGGAGGAGAAATCAGCAGAGCTGCCTGCACTGAGTGGGGGCTTAACGTAACGGCTCCACGGATTGGTCCATTTGGTTCCGGGTAACGCATGACATCATGCGGTACCCGGAAGAATCAATGGACAGTGACGTATCTCCAACGAGGCGTTTTGGGGAGGTATTTTCTGTGTTAGAGTTTTACTCCCTACAGGGTGTACTTTGAGGGTTTTGACTCTGCAGACCGTTTACATGCATAAAAACCTTCATAACACACAAGGGGACGGGTAATAACCGGAAAAGCATCACATGGGACCTTTAACATTTCCAGGTCCACTATGCTGGCAACTACACTACATTTAAAATAATTTGTTACAAACCCAAAATAAGTTATACTCATCCATTAATCTTTTTAGAAATGACTTAGTATGATTGATTTATGATTTTGTTGCCTTGCCTGTCATGCAGCTACTACCATTGTTTGACTCATGGTTTATTAACTTTTAGTGCTTCATTTTGTTCAGTAATGTGACCAACATGTAATCCTTCTGTCTCATTTTCAGCTGATCTGAGCTGCAGTCATCGAGGGTCGACGCTCTCTCTGGCGACGGAGGCCGACAGCGTTATCTCCGGAGGAGCGGAGTCACAGAGGTGAGACTTCCTGTCTTGTGTTTTAGATCAGAGTGATGATCTATTCCCATCTTGTTTTTTGACTGACCATCACGTGTGTTTTCAGGGCTGGATCTGTGTGCTCCATGGAGTCGTTCCCCATGCTGAGCAGAGCGTCCAGCAGGAACATGGAGCGGGACTGGGAGAACGGCTCCATTGCCTCTTCAATCACTTCTATGGAGTACAATGGTGAGCAGAAATCAGCTTTGCCTGCTAAATTCTCTCAAAACTAAACTGCATTTTTCAAATACATAAACCCTATTGTTATTGTTAGGGTTAGGGTTGCAGTATACACGCATGGTTAGCGCTGTATATTGAATTTAACAAATTAAAAATGCAAACATTTCTTTAAACGTGGATAAAAAGTATTTCTGATGTTGTCACTTTCTGTAGAGAAATAGTTTAAACTTTTATGAACTGGCTTATTTACTTTTTTGCGAGAGTTAGATAAGATAATCGAGAACACATAGCCAGAAGTTTCTTAATTATCTCTAATTATTCCAAATAGAAAATGCTATGGAATACGCTCTTAGTGTGCTTATGTTCCCAAAACGATTTCATTACACATTAGATTAGACTCTTTAGGGATTATGCATTTACCTTAATTATCTATTTTTTATATTTGTGAAAGGTCCTAAACTCTTCAAGGAGCCGAGTTCTAAGTCCAACAAGCCAATCATCAGCAACGCCATTGCTCACTGCTGCCTGGCTGGAAAAGTCAATGAGAGCCAGAAGAATGTTATCCTGGAGGTCAGTGTTATCACTTAAGAACTTTTTGAAACATCTATGTTGTTGCTCTCACACTTATTTTCTCATATTTACTAACTATTCTTTTGTCAATGTCTCTGATCACAGGAGCTGGAAAAGTGTGAGTCCAATCACCTGATCGTCCTCTTCCGTGACGGCGGGTGCCAGTACCGAGGCATTTACTCATTCTCTCCGGAAACAGAAGAGATCCTGAAATTCACCGGCACCGGGCCCCGCTCCATCGGCCGGAAGATGATCGACAAACTGTACAAATACAGCTCGGACCGCAAGCAGTTCAACGTCATCCCCGCCAAGTCAGTGTCGGCCACCGTGGACGCGCTCACCATCCACAACCACCTGTGGCAGGTCAAGAGACCGGGCAGCGCACGCAGGAAGTGACACACACCACTCTTGTTTTAGTTTCTATCTAACTAACGTTGGGCAGGACCCAATAATCTCTGAGGTGATTGACATGTGATCATGTGACAGGTCTTTAGACAGTTAAATCAGACTGTGGCAGCGTGAGAAAAAGAACCGCTGCCAACTGAATGTTTTCTTTTCGTCTCGTTTATTCTGCATGTGACACTTTTAATTTGTCCTACATTATTAGGCAGTATTAACGGCGGATTGATTATAATGTAGCAGTAAGGAGGAGATGGACCTTAAAGTTGAATACTAATGGATCTACTTAAAGCACCAACTACTGTACGATACCAAGTGCAACTATAACTTCAGCTTGGCAAAAAAATACCCTACTGCTGTGATTATTCCTGGAAACTATTATTCATCAGTCACTCCGACTGGTCAGTGCTTTTACGAAGAAGGAACTAACTTTTTTTATGTAAGTATGGAGTGGATGTTAGTGAGTGATCATGTCCAGTATTGTTTTATATTTAGTGTGTTTGGGAAGTGTGTGTATTTGTGTTTGAGCTAAATGCTCTGAATGTGTTCTCTTAAATTATGCTTTAATACTGCAATGGAACTATGGAGCAAAGCAACAACATTTTATTTGTTTTTAGTTTCGAAGCTGCTGTTACAGAAATGGAAGGGAAATGATGTTTATACAGAAAGGGAAATTGTACTTGTATTACAAACACGAGCCCTTTTCAGACGGTGCATTATACTTTTCTGCAGTAGCCATGAGATGCAAGTGAGTTTTTCTAAATAGTTTTTTTTTCTGTGTTTATACAGAACACATGAAAGAGCTTTGTTAGGACGATCTTTCTCAGTTCCTTTTTTTATATCTGAAAACAGATGAACATTTTTGGGACCACAAGAGACCGAAGTGTATCACAACTCTATGTTCCAGTAAGAGCAAAAGCATTCATGTTAATGTTTTAGTTTAAAATCTTCCCAGATTATTATTACAAGAACAGACACTTCATTTTGACAACAACAAGGAAATCCCCCGTATTTTTACAGATAAAAAAAAAAAGACATTTAGAAAAAATATGTTCGGAAAACTTTTTTTTAGGCAAGGCAAGTTTATTTAACTAGCCAAACTTTTTTTTCTCCACCTCTTTTACAGATATCTTTTAAAGAAAGAAATGTTCACCTGTTCTTGAGTCATAAACACAGGAGAGAAAAACAATTTAGAATCATAAAATGTTTTCCCACTTGCCTCTCAGGGCTTCCATACTCTCAGTAGTGCATTATATTATATTAACTTCATTCTTACATTCCTCCTCCCGTACGACGTAGCCTCTGGCGCTCAACACGAGTAACTTCCCTCTAATGACTGACTGTCAGCGGCTGGTGTTATGTGGGGGGGAACTGCACAATACTTGATATTTGTTTGCTGCATTTTGTACACGTTTGAGTAGTATTTATTTGTATGTTACGTACAAGTTATGTTTACTAAAAAGCAGGCACTATTTTGAGGTTTATTCTGTTACAGGCTTTCAGAGATGTAATGAGTCTTATTTTAATTGTGTTACACTGTATGTTTTATTTATTTTGAAGAGATATAATAAAAATGTTACTAGCTATGTTTTCTGATGAAGTGTGTGTGCTTGCTTGAGTCTGTGTGCATTATTATGTACATACAGTAGGTGCAATTGTTCCTTGAAGCTTTCTTACTTTGTCTACCTGCCTTCCTGCTTCACTCTCCTCTTTCATTTCCATTCTGTCTCTATTTCTTTACTGCTGCTTTATTCCTACTTTCTCTTTTTGGCATGGTGGAGGAAAAGTAGTCTGTATAAAACGTTTGTATGCCTGTTTAAATCCCTAAACATCATTGTCACACTCATATTTTTTCAAGAAAAAGCACAGCTCTAACTTGGGTTCTCACACCCAAGTCAGATTCAAGGACTCAATTCCCTCAAATTCAAGGACCTAATACAGCATAGTTTAGGACACAGTTACAACAGAAGCTTTCATACAACAGTTGATTTCTCTAACACAACACAGCAAAACAATACACTGCAGCAGAGAAAAAGATGTATTCACAATTTCAGTAACTCCAATTGATATCCTTGCAAATAAAATATATCTAAATCAAAGCCCTTTTTAAGGTCTATTTTCAAAAATGTTTAAGGCCTTGGTTAGTTAACCTTATATTCACAAATGTTTTAGGATTTCAAGGACCTTTGCGATTCATGGGAAATATCACTCCTAAAGTGACACATTTACAAGTTACATGTACTGTACTGTTTAACGTGAAAGCCGCTCTCTGCAAGATGTCATGCTAATAACAAGAACATTTGCAAGGAAGTAATTAAATATACAGTATCTCCCAAAATGTTGACATCTTTCTTTAAAGCAGCAGTATGAGACATGGTGAGATATTTAGTCTTAAACATTCAAAGTTAACTAACACTATTAAGAAAAAGTAATGAAATAAATATGTCTATATGTTTTGTGTTGCTGAGGTATCTACTGAAATGAGCATGTTGAACAGCTAGCCTCGGCCCATCTTCTCTTGTAATACCACTTTTTCCTCTAGGGGCGATAATGAGTCACCGTTTGTTGATCTGACCTCAGTCCAACTCGAGATGTCTTACTTAGAGGAAGTCCAGCTGCCCTGAGGGCTTGTTAATAATCACATGTAAGGTAGTTGAAGTTAGGAGCACACCTGAATTCGTCTGAAGCCCTTGGCAACAAAGTTCAACAATAAGGGAAAGGAGCAAAAACATCCGCTCTTATGGAGTGTAGAGAGGAGGTTTGGTGCTGAACTTGCAACGTGTCTTCTGGACCGGTAAGTTACTCGTAACGTTGGCTATTTAACAAACATATTTGTATTGCAACTAAACTGAAAAATAATAGTCTATAGACTCTGCACATGAAGATGATCAGATCTGGGGTAGGTGAAAAGCTGCCTCCAATTTGTTTAAAGCATGACGACCAGTATATTTTAAACAGAACCAAGCTTTACACATGTTTGGTCCTTCCATGTAGGCTGGTAACTGACAAATCTGCAAAAATATATTTTTTCAAAGAGCTTTATATTTATGGTCAACAAAAATCCCCAAATTATTAATCACCATTTCTATGTTGAAGACATGCATCAATACAAAGGCCCTTTCAATGTGTTTTTACTTCATGATATAGCACTTTATTGTGCAAATTAAAGTCAAATATTCTTACAGTACAGGATGTAGCATTTTAGAAATTCCTACCTTGTCCAAAGAGCCATACATGTACAAGCACATTTATTAATTAAGTAGTGCTTAAAGTCAAAAGTTTTCTGATTCCTAATATTGTACAAATCAAATAAATCTGAATGGCACAATACTGAATATATTGCACAGACTGTTAAAAGGGTTAAACTGAGCACTTATGTATTGCGTATTGCAAAAACCTCATCCAACCTCAGAAATGTGCTGCAGAGGAACAACAATATTTGTACATGATTTAATATCGAAAACCCCTACGCCACTGAAAAAAGTTAACAAACCTAGGACACTATTTATTAATTCCAGTAGTTCATCAATCCTTGATAAATTGTACATTGTTCATAATATCATCCACAATCTCTCTATATCAGCAAGTCTTGTAAACACGTCAAGAGAACTCCTCCCAGAGCTAAAGTAAAGCTTCATTAAAGAGTATGTATTCACATCTCTCTATAAACGAAGGACTGGAATGAATGACTTGGCCTTGCCCACGGCTTAAATTATCAAAGATTTAATTTGTGGACACAAAAACAAAATCTGGTAATGATTTCATTAAATGAAGTATATCTTGTGCTCACAAATGTGAATAGTGTCCTTTCTTTCTCTAATGCCGGGCTCCGTTAGCAACTATGATTCAGCTACAAATAAGCTTTAAAGGAAAGCTTTAATGCACATATTTTATTTAAGTCACATAGTGTTGAGTGTTGTGTTTTATTTGATGTGATTGAAGGTGAATAGGTAAGTGACAGACCAGACACAACTAGAATAAATGCATCTGAACAAAAAAGTAAAGAAAAGACAGATCAATCCTGGGCCAAAGTCTCTCAACTCCATGTTTTTTTTAGGGGAGCCACAACCCAAAAGAGCATGAGCAATATTAAACATCTCCAGACAGTGGTCAGTGAAAGTCACTCTAATCAAGCAGGTTTGATGGACCTGATTCAAATCTTCCTTTTGGTTTTTTAAGCTGGTCCCTGAATGCTCATCTGAGAGAGCTTTCACAGCAGGAGACGGTGAAATGCCACCGGCCAACAGTAGGCACTCAAAACACGGTTGCAGACTGCAGTGCTGGAACATCGAAGCACAGATTGTCCTCTTTCAGACTGCATGGATGCAACCAGACCCCCGTGAAAAAGCTGAAGGGGGTGTTTATAGAAAGGGAGTGTATCAGTGGAGGTCAGCGTGTTCCTCAGAGTTGGGTGTCCTCTCTGGGCTCTGTTTCAGACTCGTGTCTCTCTTTCAGGCTGCTTCTGTGGAGAGGAGGCTCCTCTGGGACGTGAGCCAGAGGGTCCGAACGAATCAAATACCTGAGAGAGAAAAGAGGACAGATAAAGATAGGAGAAACTGCATCAATTTGAAAGAGTCACCACGTGGGATTCAGCTGCTTTCTGAATCCCCTTAAGAGCAGAAGTCACATGAGCTGAAATTCATATTTTCCCTGTAATTGTCTATTATTTCCAAAATAATAGGCTGCAGAATTGTCAGGGTCCGTTCTTTTGAAGAGGAATATTAAGAGCTGGAGTCAGGGACTTTTACATATAATTGAAGGTTTGTTACATGCAAGCCCTTAACAAATGAGTTCACACAATGCTGATGAAAGGCTCGTTCTGAACTAGATGTCCACTAGGCTTTAAGTGGACGTCTGTGTGCATCATGCAGAATGTATACATAGCAAGCATGTGAGTGGGAATGCTCCAGTTTTGTTGGTGGCGTTTGCACCTCTTGCTAGTTTGCGATTACGGGATGAATAACTCAAACAAAAGGGTGATGTTCATGGATGTATAAAGAGAACTGGATACAGCGTTGAAGGCGGGATTCCGTTCAATCCTGTAAAATGTGCTCAATGCGGCATGAAGCCAAGATGCTGTTTTGAGCATTGCAATATATTTATTTTCACCATGTTATTTATTTATGATTATCTTTAGGATTTGATGTCAGCTGTTGCTGTCTTTTTTTCTTTAGTTAACACTGAAATAGAGCGCTGCTGTTTTGTTAGGGCGTTTTCTTTAAGTACAATTTTAAAATGTTGATGCAGTAGCCCCTTTTTTTAACTGTCTATGCTTAAGTTTTTATAGGTGTTACTATCTGCTTTGTGTCAGTGCATTCATTGGGTGGTATCAGAGAGTCACAATGGTCTGTAAATGCAATGAAAACAATTGGCCACAGCAAATCATTTATATCACATTTTTTACTTTTGAATACTTCAGTACAAAGGATGTATTGAATAATGTAAGTCAGGGATGGGCAACTTTGATGGTGGTGGGGGCCACATCATTGATGTACTGGCCACCAGGGGGCCGCAGATTCACTTGGAAGACACACACACAAATTCCATGTGTTGTATGTAATTATTAACAAATATACTAAGTCTGACATCTTCATTGACATTTTACAATCGAAGGGAACATCCCCAAAAAATGGGAACATCCTCTAATAAGCTCACTAAACAAATATCAGTTCACAGAAATGTTATTTCATTTTTACAAGTGGCATGTTTGTATTGAACAGGTTATTAAACAGTGGAATAAAACTATTTTAAACTATTGGAAAGCACGGAAAATGTGTGTGTATTGAGATTAACCATTACGATGACATACACATGAAGTCATAAACACTAACCCAGACATTAGTTGTCTAACTTGAACCTAAAACACTTGTAGCCAGTCTCTGCATTCCCCTTATTCCACAATAAGGGGAATGTCAACACAGACACCTGTCAGCCCGCACTCTGCTGTTCCTCAGCGCCACTCCCCCTCCCTCCCGCTGAAATTATGAATGAAAAGCGTAGTAATCATAGATAACACGGCAGGGTCCGTGACAGTTTGTTTTCATCTGATTTCAAATAAACAAAGTCTTGGTTTTAAGAATATTAAACTTGTTT